CATGGGCAAATACTAACCACCAATCTGTGATAAAAATCTCTTCTTCTGCCTCTTCCATTGCATCTGCCACATCTTCAAAATATCCTTTGGCATTAACATACCTGAAAGACAAATTTGTTGTTCCATTTTTTTTTTCACAGAGAAAAAGAAAAGAAACATATCCTATGGTAAAGCAGAATGTGGAAGCCACGGCCTAGAGTCTGTACAGAACCATTTACTTTATGTAACTGGTAAACAAGGGTTGAAAATAACAACCTCTCTCTGCTACCTAGGAAGGGCAGTAACTAGATAGATGTACTGATTCTTCTCTGCTTAGAGAACAAGGAATTAATTGAACCCATCATCATAGGGGCCCGATGAATTCTCCTATCCTGTTGAACTCACACATGGTTTTTCTTCTGAGAATGAAAACAGACCACTTTCCAATCCATGGGTAGAAAAAGTTGCTAAGCACGATTGTATTTAAAAGAAATACCTAGTAAGTAAATGCTTTTTCCTAAAATTATGGCTAATAACTTAAATAAAGCTTCCATTTGCATCACTAAGAAAATGTATGAAGTTAGCTTTAAAAATCAAACTTCAAAATCTAAAGCTAGTTAAGCTCACTGTGAAAATAAAAATAAACTTGGAAAACTAACCTATGATCAGGTAGTACCATAACTGTCTCAAAAAGAAAGATTTTTGTTAAGTATAATGCATAGTATCTTTTCACAGTTTTGAAAATTGATTCCAGGTGAATTTAGATCACTATAATATTAGATGCTATGACTACCTTGACAGCTTTAGAGCAAAAATATCTTACCATTTAGCTAAAATGTTCTCTTGGATAGCAGCATATGACCCAAATCGATGATCTTTGAGAAAGTTGGTGCCGTGTTTCTGGATGAATTCTTCCATAGCCCCTGCCCACCACCGAGCATGCCTATAGCTGTTGCATTTTAAAATAAGTGTCCTTTAAAGAAAAGCAAATGTGGAAAAGAATGGTCACTCTGTGTCCTATCTCTCGAAACAAATTTAAGGATTAAATGTTCCTTCTTTTATTTGGTAGTATAGCAAACACAAATTGAAAAATTTAGACAAAGAACATCGAAAAAGCAGGCTTCTAAAAATTTTTGGTAGGATTTCTAAAACAATTCAATATAACAAAAATAAATGTTCAAATTACCTATTTACTCACTCATGCAAACATGTGTAAAGGTACTTACTATAGCCCTAGAGCTGTGCCAGGCGCAAGGAAGACAATGACAGAGGTGTATGGTGAGGTCCTACTTCTAAGTGTTAGTTAGAGAGTTGTTGGCTCCTCCAGAGGACATTTCCCCTTGTGCTGTCTAGTGTGCATTCCCTTGGCTTCCAGAAATATCATCCCGATTGTGCTTTAAGAGAGTCATCCCTTCCCTTCCCTGAGTCCACCAAAGCTAAGCAAAATGGCATATTCCATCCCCCCAGATCCCGGAAAGTGGTTAGGGCATGAGTGCATAAGCCAATTCCACCCAGTGAGTGAGACTGAATGCAAGGACTTGTTCAGGAATGCCAGGAAGAGACTCTCCTCTCCACTGAATTTGGTGGGAGTGTGGGAGGCAGCCATCTTGCTGCCACGAGGGACCAGTCTGAGGATGGAGCAGATCCACAGAAGATAGGGCTGAGAATGGCAGGGAACATGTCTCAATGTCATAGCTTGAGCATCAGAATCAGCTATGCCCAATGTGGCTGATTCACTCTCTTTGGTATAAGCCAGTTTGCATTGGATTTTTCTGTCACTAATGACTAAACTATCCTAAACTGTTACAGATTTACAAATGCTGAAAAAAAAAAAAAAACCTCAGAGTAGATTACAGAAAGTTTTCTTCATGCTCAACGTCAGAATTGGTGACTACCACCAACAGGGGAAAATAAGTTATCCACAGTTGAAGTTCAAAGGAAAATGGGGTGTTGGAGCCAGCTGTATCCCTGCCATGCATGCAGAAATGTACTCCACACCGAGATAAGAAGAAGACTGCAGGTGAGGAGGGAGAGTTTGCTTTTTCGAGGATACCTGCAATGATCCTGTTGAGAAGCAGGGAAGGGGCTGTGTTCACAGATTCTAAAATAATCATTTATAAAGATTAGGGATGTCCAAACTGCTTTCCTCCATATGTCGGAGATAGATACTGGCCTTTGTCCAAAGCTGATGCTGCTGGCGTGTGGAGCCGGGGAAAGTGGGGAGGTGAGACATGTTGGAGCTGAGAGGGGAGAAGTGTCCCCCATCAGGTGTGGTGAAGGATGTACGAATTTCCGGGGCTGAGGCAAGAGGGCATGGAAGGGGCCTGGGCTTAACCCATCTTGCAAACACTACTACGACTGAGTGGAAATGCCTCTGAAAATCAGTTTTGAGAAGAAGACTCTGTGGAGGAGATAAGTGACAAGCAGAGGCCCTATCACAGGATATGAATCAGAGTCAAGGGGAAAAAAAAAGAACTATTCCAAACATGGAGATAGGAAGAGCAAAGGAGAAGAGGCAAGAAAAAAAATACACGAGAAGGGATGGTAAAGAGAGCTGCTTCCAATGGAACCGGAAAGGCTGCATTAGGGAGGGTTTGAAAATAAAGGTAAAGAACTAAATGCCCTTAAATTACAAATGGAGGAGTTTGGGCTTATTTGATAAAATTACAGGGAGCATTTATACCAGTAAGGATGCCGGTGAAACCTGGATTTGAACGGATTCATTTGGTAATGGCGCACAAGTGAGTGAGGGTGGGAAATACAGAGAAGGTGGCCAATAAAGGAATTGTGATAGGGACCAATGAGAAGTGTGGCCTGACTTCTGTGGCTCACTGGAAAATAGGAATGCGGTACCAGGAGGAGAGTTTAATGGCAGTTAAATGGCCA